TTACCATTAATGACAAAAACGATTTGGAATAAACAATATTATCCAGAAAATAATTGAATTAAAAAAAAAGTGAATAAGTATTTCCCCAGGACCAGTGTCAACATCAATTAACTACAGCGGGACATTAATGGATTCTGGTGGAGAATATCCAGGATGTGTAAACTGAACCTCGATAAAACTATCTGTGAATAAGTTCATCGTTGTATTAGTGAAAGCGAAGGACGCAATGGGGCTTTATATTGGTTTTGTTTTTGAAAGTTCGTTCAATAATTTCAAGCTCCAGGGGGGATTTTCATTAATTAATTATTTCAAGAGGAAGAATATGTGTTATTCAAAACAAATGAAAATTAAGCAAAGTATTTAATTTTTCCAAATCTCTTTTTCGTATTATTTACTTTTTGAGCTTATTTTTGGTAATTGTTTGAGAAAAATTTATTTTCCCAATAATCGCTATTTTGGTATATAGGTGAGAGAGAAAAATGGCGAGAAAAATGGCAAAATTTATTGCCGATTGTTCTGTAAAATATATGTTTCTTGATTCATCTGGAACAATGGCTGAACAATTCGACTATGGAACTTTGGATTCTCGCTGGCAAGTTTGCACATTCTAATGACTCTGAACTTGTCCTTTGAGAATTTCTCTTAATCAAGGATATACCATCCTCCAGAATGGGAAATTGCGGTCCCAGATATAATTCTGCATTTAAATGATCCTCAACTTTCGCCTATAATGTATTTATACCTTTTGTAAATGATATTCGCTGGGTGTACAGAAGGAAAAAAACTATAATCAAGTTCTTCATGAATATAAAATTACTATAAGTTTATTTTAATTGCTAGTTGTTAGTGAACTATCGAAAGCAGTGGACACGCAGAGAGAGAGAGAGAGAGAGAGAGAGAGAGAGATAATCAACATATTACGATCGACCCGTAATTTCCAGTAATTTCGATCGTTCAATTTGCAGTTTAGTGTCAATGATGTCATCACAGGCGTAATCTTGAAAGCCTACCAGTGTTACCAACATTGCCGAGGGTCAATAATATTGGCAAGACTGTCGCCTTCGATCCCCTTAATGATTCCGTATTATCCAACATTCTCCCCATAGTGTCAATAACATTGTCCCTTGGTTTCAATCAGTCACTATGTCGACAGTGCGGGCACATGATCAAGGATTTTATTATTTAATTTATCCATTGGCATCGCGTGGGAAAGTAGGTTTTTACAGCAGATGTATTTCGTAATATATTTGCTAATGAAATCTTTGCCAAACTCAATGTTTCAGTGTTTAGACTTGTTGAATAAAAAAAAAGAGTTGGTTCTCACCAAACATAATATTTAGTTGTTTCCTACGCTGATAATAATACTAACATAACAATAATAAAGGCAAGTGATCATCGATTTTCAAGTGTTAATTCAACAACAAATGTTTTAACAAACAATTAAATCCGTTTCAAGGTCTGGTAAATTTTTAACTTCAATTAAGACTTTTGCAGCAAACTAGGATACTATTTCACTCTGTATTTCTTAATTTTTCCAGCATAGCAGCATACAGTACTACTTTTTTAAAAAAAGGAAAATCTACCGGTTTGTCGCACATGATTCTTTATAGGGGTGTAGATTAGAGTTAACTTGAGAGTTGAGACGCTTTCTCACAAATTAGTGGCACACCAAGCCGTTGTCTCGTCCGCTTTGTCAGACTATTCTCCGTTCTAATTCAGCCGTTTCCTTCGCAAGATAAACTAGAACACCTTGTACATATACACGAGGATAAACAAAATTTACCCAACCACTTGACTCCGGCAATATTGTTTATTGTCTTCGACAAATTATAATGCAAAAATGAAACATCAAAAGAAATTTTACTTTGCACAAATTCGTCTTCAAAACAGTTTCCCTCATTTTGAATGCGTCATTAAATAATAAAGGAAAGTGTTCTTATCTGCGTGAGTAATAAAAAATTCAGTGGAGAATTTAATTAAAGGGTCTATTTATCTTATTACAATGCCGTAATTTAGCCAAGTGAATAATAAATCAAAGTCTTCCTCTTCTTTTACGTATTTTAGCTTAATACTTTACGCATCTCGCATCTCATTTCTGCTTATTTACTTGGCAAGCTTAGAAATTCATGCGTTTTACGATGCTGGAAATCGTTTATCTTAGATTCTCTCTCCGGTAAGACGAGAATAGTTATCCATGTGCTATATTAAGCGCAATGAATACAGTTTAAGCTTAAGAAAAGGGAAAACTGGGCCAAATATATATATAATTATTCCAGCGAGTAAATTTCCCTCAAGATTTTCATATATACATATTGTATACATATGCTGCAATCAGTTCTGAGAAATGAAGCCGTGCATGATTAACATTATTCTCTATATCACGCTGATAGGATCTTTATATGACATCTCCTTGTTATTTAAATTTTATTATCTTATTAGTTATTACTGTTTGTGAATAAAAGTTGTAAATTTATTCATTATTATTTTATTATTGTTTATTCTAAAATTAATTTGTCTTTTCTCTCAGCATTGTCTGCAAGAAGAGCTATAATTTACTTTATTTATAATCTCATTAATTTTAAATATATATACTCATTTAATTAAAAACTTAAGTTTCATTTAAACATTTAAAGTCTGTTCTCTGTTTAATTTCAATGTAACTTATTATTAATTTAGTTTAAATTTTGATTATTAATTCGTGTCGTGCTTCAACGCCACCTTTAAACTTTAGCCATTTTATTTTTTATTTTACGTTTATTTATATCTAAAATATAATAATTCACGTAGATAATGTAAAATACCAAAAACTTTTTTGTTAATATTTGACGCTCATTAAAATGAGATAACTTAAATTATATAATTAACTTATATTAATATGTTCATTAGTAAATCAGTCCACATTGTACTTGTAATTTAAATCCAATAAAATATTTTTGAGCAATTACATCATAAGAGAAATAATAATAATAATTATTATTATTTTGATTTTCCACTCACTGATTTCTCTCTTTATTAATAATAAAATCTAAATTGAAAAATTCAGGTATTGTAAGTTTAAAAAACAGTAATAAATCCAAAACGTTACTATAAAATGAACTGAAATTAAATTAAAAAAAAAAATTTATAAAACAATGAAAAGTAATTACAGAAATTTCAATTAAAAAATAGTGTCAATGTATAATAAAAGAGGGTAAATTATAGCTTCCCTTTTTTATCCATTTGATGAAAGATTCACTACTCGGAGAATCGTCAAGTAAATTTGCTTCTCGTATTTCTTATATTTCTTGGATGATAATTTTTTATTTAAAGTGTCTCCTCACTGCAAAGACATTTTCTGAAAATTCTAGTGGAATGATTCTAGTAAAGGTACTCACTTCCATTTTTAAATGTATATTTACATTTTTAATAAACTACATTTTTTTATAAAACATTCTCTTGAACCAAAAACATTTTTATGCGAATAAATTTTACTTTTTCATATTATTCCCAATAAAACCCAGTAACCCAGTTACAAAGTATTAAAAAAATGGTCCTTTTCTTTTTTTCAATTTTAAAATAAAATATTCATTTCTGTGTTTCAATTACATGAATAATGATTTTTTCACTCAACGGTCATAAATAATAAAAAGAAATATATTTTCTGTCTCCTTACGGCAATATTTCATCATAATATATTTTCTAATTGAAAAATTCAAACACTGTTATATGAAAGAAAATGTGTGGAGAAAACAAATTTACTTTATGTAAATTTTCGAGTAAATTGTTACATTATAAATTTATTTAACTGCGATATAGATGCAAAAAGAGAATTAGAGTGACTGAGAGAGAATAGAGAACTTTTCAAATGTATCTGCCTTTATTCAAGCACAGGAGAGTCATTAGTCTTTCATTTGCATTCTCGTTCCGACCAACGAGGCTCATTGTAAATAAAAAGATCTGTTTTCTGTCTCCTTTCGTCGAAAAAAGAGAGAAAAAACAACAACGCAAAATTCTAAAGCCAGACCACAATAAGGGAAGTTGGTGAAAAAGCTTTAAATAAAGAAAGTCAAGTTTAAGACAATGAAATTAACCGAAAGTGAAGGCGACTTTTTAGAAAAGTCCATCATTCATTTTCTGAATAGAAAAGATTATAAGATTTCTGTTAAAAATGGGTCAGCGACTGTGTCATTATCTCTACACAATTTATTATAATTTCCTTTTTATTTCTCTATTAATATTAATAATATTATAATGCCAACTTTTTTATTTCCTTTCACTCGATATTCTATTATTCTACTTTGAGAAAAAACATCTAATCTAATTTTTCTTAATTATCAAGAATTAAAATTGTACAACTAAACCGAAAAATAAATAAAGATGAAAATTAAAATATTCGAGTAGCTCTTTTCTTTAAATTCCTTTGTGTGATATATTGAAAGAATTTTTCAAATTACGTCTAACCTTGAGGCTTTGGCAAGCCATTTTCTCAATTTTTCTGCATCGATAGGAACTCTATTATATTCTTCGAGAAGAAAAATTAGAAGAATGTTCACTAAAAAGAATAAAAAAAAAGAAAAAGAATTAGGTCGCGAGGTCAAGTCACGTAATTATAAACTAGCAGTTCTCTTGTTTGGGATAAAAGTGCTCATTAAAATTGGTTAAGGTCCTCTTTGTTTATATATTCCGTCACTATTTCTTTAGCTCTAAAAAATTATTCCCTTTCTTTTCCCGCCTATTTTCTCTCCCTTCCTATATCTTTCTTTCATTCCTTTTTTCTTTATTCCAAACAATTATCCAACAATCGTCCGCTATGTTTGAATATTATTTCAAAACTATTATTAAATTAATTACGTTTATAGAAAAGAGAAATAAAATTAGAAAAGTGATAAAGTGATGGTCAAGAAATTAAATTAAATTAAATTAAATTCATTTAATTTAAATTAGATTTTGAATTTAAAAATATGTTTTTTGGAAATGAAAATTTTAATGAAATAGAAAATTGTTTTTACCCTCTGTTGCAGACGAGTAGTACAAATTTGTGGGGTGACTGGATGGGCGTAATGCATGGAGATGAAATTGAATATGTCTTTGGTCTTCCACTCAACACGTCTCTCAAGTACACCAACAAAGAGCGTGATCTTGCCCGGAAATTTTTATCAATTTATTCCAATTTCGCTACTCATGGGTAAGTTGACTTTTAAATTCTCAACTTTCTGTATTTTCTCCTCACACTTTTCTCAATAATATATATTAATTTATTATTATTAAACAGAAATTACTTATTAATAAAGTTGTAAGTTTTTTTTTAATAAAATATATAAATCTGTATTAAATCAGTTAAATTTTCAAGTAGAGCGTACCAATAGTAGAGCTGACATTCAAAACTCATTGGAGAGCACTTTCTCGATATCTAATTCAGTTAGATTTATTTAGAAGCCAATATTAAAACAATTGGGCAAAAATAAACGACGTCTGCATATTTATAAATATTAGACATATTAGAGCACTCGACTAAATTAAAAATAACATTCGATACTTGAGTATTATATTGCGTATTATATTGCTTTTTATTTTTTAACGTCAACGAAAATCGTTCTTCTCAGTTTATATATAGAAGTTAATTTCATTATTCAACTTTAATTAGTTTTTATTGAATATTATACCGTCTGCGATCTTTGCAATATATGGACAGTTTTCGTAAATGTTTCATTTCCGAAAATTGGACAAATTGGACAACAAGAACGTCCATAATTAAAATACTAACTCAAAATTAAAAGTCCTGCTACTAATTGCCCCATTTGTCGGTATAGAAAATAGATATTTTTTATTCCTTTTTTTTTATTATATATCCGCATTGATTGTTATTTATGATTATTTATGTAATTTGATACTACATAAATTATGTATTATAAAAAAAAAATTTATTCTTTTTTTTAAATTTAATTTATAGTAATAAATTATATTTATAGAATTTTCAGCATCACTGAATTTACTTTATTCAATTATTTTATTATTCCTCTCTAATATTCTGTTTTTTTAACTAAAGGATAAAAAATATCATTTTTCCAACGATGCGGATAATCTTCTAATTGCCTTTTACAATAAACGGATTTTCAAAGATTAAAAAAATATTGAAATTCGTTTCTGAAAAGCATGAATAGAGAAACGAATTCCAATAAACTAGATTGAATTTCTTTTCTTTTTTTGGTCTAAAGTGGTTTTTTTTATAATTTTACTAATTTAAAGACAAATTGAAGGATTGATTATAAAGTACATACCTATTTTATATTTAATCTACAAGTTTTATTCTATAAAACAAAGTCTGTGATTCTTCAGAAAATAAAATGGACCAGAAATATGTGATAAATCCTAATGACGCTAAATTTTCTATCGATTTTTTCGAAATGCGAGATTTCGATTTAGAGTCGTTAAAATGAAAAATTGTCCTTTCGTGCCAGATTCAAAGGAGCTTTTTATCAACTTTCGACTATAGACAAACAACTTTTCCATTAGGAAAAAATTATTTATAATCTATTTTAATAATTTTTCACATTCGCAGTTTGAAAAGACAAAAAAATATATCTATTTTATGGGAATTTATATTAAATGAAAATGAGGAATATAAATTTTTTTTTACCAAACAAAAAAGAGGGAGGCAAGAAAGATGAATATAGGTGAAACTTTAACGCAACCAGGTATTATTTTCTAATATAGATTCCGAGTAAATACCAAAGAGAATCGATTAAAAATGTCCTTTTCCATCACAAAAGCGCGGGAATTTAATCCTGTGGTCTCTGATGTAAAATATTTTTCTACGTATGTGAGTGCCATAGGTGAATCACGTGAAAGCAAATATGTGTATGACACGTTTACAACCACTGATTTACTTTATCCAGTTTTGCTCGTTAATTATGATAAAAGTGAAACAAACCCTCCTTCCGTTTTGTTCAGAATAAAGTACTAAAAAGTCCAATAAAATATTAATCTTACCTCCGTGGCATGGCAGTCGGATGTGAACAGATGTGAAATGACGCTCGTGGCCAGAGACCGAGCCTTATGAGGACCCGTGTCAGCCAATCAGAACGCAAGCCCCTTCCCTTTTCCAGGAGCGACAGACTGGACGCTCGCGTTCTGATTGGCAGACACAGTTCCCTCATAAGCCTCGTTCTCTTGGCACGAGCGTCACTTCACATCTAACCGCCTGCACCATTCACACTCGTTCCAAACTCTACTTTCTTTTTTTCTTTAAACGCAAAAAAACCTTTTATCCAACACAGGGAATTGAATGAGAAAAATAATTAAAATTTAATATACCTTTCATTGTCATAAGAATACAATTTTTCCTAAAGAATCTAATTCCTTACATTTTTCTGCGGAATAATTAAAATTATAATTCACGTCAGAAAAAATGAGAAAACAATTTTACATTTTTATTTTTAAGAAAGATAACGTTCCAGAAAAGAGAATAAAGGAAAATCTCATTAACCAAAGGTCGTTTGAAAGTAAAGTTGTTTTGGACACAGTATTTCTATGCAGAGACCCCGCTTTATTTTTTACTTTTCTTTTTTTGTTGTTGTGGAAAAATGTAATGCAAAATGAAAAATGCACTTTTCAGGGAATGTACACACAACGTGTGATGAGAATTTTTCATCAGAGAGCACTTCTTCGTGTTTCACCTCGAGAAACTCATAAAGGCAATCCGGGAGTAGTGTGTTTGTGTGTGTATGCAGGGGTCAAGTTTCTCTCTTTTAACGTTTAATAAAGGTGTAGCAGTAACATAGAAATTATTTTTTTTCCACCAATGTGTCTCACCTATTTTTCACCCACTTATTTCAGCTTATGTCACGCACATAATGTTTTCCTACGAATTATAAATATGTGGTACACGAAACATGTTACATGAGTGCGTGACGATGCATCATCATTCTCTCACTGATCGTTATCACTTTTGATTTTTTACTTGTTACACTATAAAGAGAATTTCGATTTCGAAACTCCGATTTATAAACAAGGGTACTTAGCGAAAATTAAAGACTTACTAACTGTGGTATTATGTATTACATTTTATTATTATTAGTTTACCAGTAATAGTGCGATATTTTAGAAACGTGAGTGGGAAATGTTTCATAAAAATCTCGTTATTCGATTACAATTAAATAATTAATCAATTTCTGCACCACTTTACTAAGACAATAAAATTCTACCAAAATAGTTTTATTTTAATTTAATTCAACTTAGATTTATAATTTAAAAACATAAAAACAAAATTTAAAAATTAATTTCTGAAACTTGTTCCTATAATTTTCTTTTGTTTTCGACATAAAATACAGAAACTTAAGAAATTGGAGATTATTTTAAATACGAAATCACGTGAGACAGAAACATTTGCTTTTTTTTTATCGTATCGTATTTTTTCTGTAATTTCTTGTCCTCAAATTTTTTTCGACATTTCGTGTCACTCCCTAATAAATTCGGTCAACGGAATCTTCATTGCTTTGGAAAGGTCATAAATGCAATTTCGAAATTTCATGGCGCACGCAACGTAAAAGGTGTTTTCTCTCCGTGTTTGAAAATTAAATCACATCACCTACTATATGATGCAGATAAACTTTTACCCTTTCACTATAAATCTCTCCATTTTGTTCTTTCCTCTAAATTACGTCTTCTAAATAATTTCGCTTTGAAAAATGTTTTCATTCTTTTTTGGCAATTTTTTATTTTTTATTTTACTTTATTAATGATGATTATTTCTATGCATTCAAAGTCGAAAGAAACAAATTGTGAATAATAAATAATAAAAATCGCATTACTTCTAAATAAAAGAAGACAGTTTTTTTCGAGACAATTTCAAGTTATTTAGAGGAATTGCGTCAAATATTAAAATTCGGCGGCTTGTTGTGAAAATTAATTATTATTTTACGGGTAATTTTTCGCACAAAAGCATTTTCACCTACCTTCTCAGCATCGGCCTTCTTTTTAAAGGTTAATTGCTCGTAAGGGCAATTAGACTCTCATCTTCTGAAACATCGTCAGTGTACTGGAATATAGCAGATAATCGAGATCGTGGTAGATGAGGCAACTTCTCGCTTTCAAAATTAATCGCTCCGAAGACATCGGCCTTCCTTCCGTTTGTCCCAGAGAGAAATTTTCCTCGCACATATTTCTCCAATTTCGCCAAGACTATTATCAAGCTGAAAAAACGTATCCAAATTTTAAATATTGTACAAATATAATTACCACACTAATAATTATCACTACTATTGTTATTATTTTTATTATATACTACGAAAATTAAAAAGCAAAAAGTTTGTTTTCTAAAATTTCAAACGATGACTGAAACTTTTTTGGCAAATTTTACATAGTAGCCAATATTCAAAATATATATGTATACGACTGAAAAAGAATGAATCAGAAAGAACATAAAAGCAATATGGCGTCATGAAAAGAAAATGGATTTAAGCGACATCGATTTTTCCAAAAGTTGGTCAACTTTAGAATTTTTAGGTCACTGAGCATGATATCAGAATTTCATACATATTGAATCCAAACAATTTTTGAATTATTATTTTCCAATGTTTTATATTTGAATTGAGTTTGAGAAAAAAAATGTCCCCATAACTCTTGATTATTAAAAGTTGCTTTTCCTTTGTACAAAAAAAGAAAAAGTATAAAAAGTATAAAAAGTATAAAAAAAAAACAGTGATGACAGAATAATGAAAAATTAAAATTATAAAGTTAACAATTTTAAACCCTTTCAACTAAAAAAATATTCAGAAGGACGAAATGTGGTTGCCTTTTTTAATTTCTCCTCTTTTTCTTACAGGAAGCCAGTGGAAAGCGAAGTTGAATGGCCACCATATACGAGGAATGATCCTCGGTATTTTATTTTAGATGCCGAAAAGAGCGACATGGGACAAGGTCCTCGCATGACCGCGTGTGCTTTCTGGAACGAATTTCTTCCTCGACTAAAAGGAGTGCCTGGTACGTGGCATCCCGACATCCTTTTCACTGTTTTTCTCCCATTTTACGGGTTTTCCTTTACATTTTTTTCCACCACACAATTTTCTAGAATTCACCCAAATAACTTTCATCTTCATAATCCAACTCACAATTTATTTTGTCCAACATTTTTAATAAAGAAAATATATTTTGCAAATGTTATTTGAAAAGGACAATAGACTAATTTTAAACTTAAATGTGGTCGATGAAATTGATTTCAGAGAAATGAAAAATTTGTCGTTTAAACGGATTTGAATAATTCAGAAAGACCATCTATAATGAAAGTTGATTGTGATGGAAAAAATGAAAAATCAACATTGAAATGTATGTCAGTGGCTTAACTTGATGGGAAAGTGTATATAGATTATCATAAAGTGAATATTCTTGTGACCTTCTTAGTCTTACGACGCCTCTCTGTGTGTATAATCTCTGATTCCGTATATCTAGATTTCCAGACATTCCCGGGACTATGTGACAGTTGACTCGATAAATAATTCAAGTCCCAGAAATCGATGGTGAAACTTTAGTTTAAACTCCATTTTGCGATTCCAATCACTGTTCATAAAGTATAGTTATTAAAATCCATACTTTAATGTTTTCATTTCTGCAAAACCATTTTTTTGTAAACGTTAATTTTTGCAAATATTTCTTAATTTAGCATTTAGCGATTTTATACGAGCGTCAGTTTTGTGGTCAAGAGTGGGGGCAACGAGTATAAAAGAGAAAGATTCAAGCTTCTCCCTCACACTCACTGTTCCCACTCTGATGATAGTGGTGTAAACGTAAACGCGCTCCATTGCATTTAAAATTTAAAACTAATGGCAAATAATTTGCAAATTTTCAGACCCAGAACCGGAAGCGTGCAACAGGGTGATAGCGTCAAGCGTCTCGGCAGGTGCAAACCGACTCATTTCGAGCCTCAGATTCGCACTCGTCATCTTGTTTCCCACGCTAATGGCAATTACCTCGATTATGTAAGAGAAAAAGAGGAAATAATCGACAAGATAACCCTTCCAGTAGAAGAGAGAAAATAAATAAAAACTGACCGAAAAGATCAACCCGCAGGCACGGACTTCCGCTTCAAGATGAACGTCCAGGTGCTTTTTTTACACTATACAAATATATCTCGAACTCAAAGATTAATTTCGCATCGAAAAAAATTTTTCAAATTGTGAAACTGCAGAGAACAAAAGCGGGTAAAAGAGGGTAAAAGAGGGTAAAAAAGGGTAAAAAAGGGAAAAAACAAAGAAAAAAGTCCAGACGTAAAAGATCGGAAAAAGTCGAGAAAAAAAAAGAATACACCGACTCTAAGAATGCAACGTGTGCAACTACGAATTCAATCAAATTGATTCTTCTCGAAATGTCCAACGTTGCGAAAAACTACATAGTAAAAAAGAATTTCTAAAAAAGAAAAGAGAACGACACGGGAATCTTGAATTCCTGTTTTTTTTCAGCTGCAACAACTTATATGTATAAAAAAAAGATCAAAATAGTGCTAGGCTTTAAAAAAAAAAAACTTTGAAATTTTGCAAAAGAACAAAAAAATGAAATTTTTTTTGCTCTTTTTTTTAATAGAAAAAAAATACCGAAAGTGCTTCATAATTCAATGAAAGCACTCACCAAATATACAATATATAAATATATTATTTTTATTGCCTTTATAACATTAAATATAAAAAAATATTATAACTCCTGAGAAAAATTTATATCTTTTCTGGATTATTTTCGAAATATTATTTTTAATTACTGAAAATAATTAATTTTCTTGTTAAAAGTTATTGAATTTAAATTTATGAGTATGAAAAAAATTTCCGAAAAGTGTGTAAAATTGAATAAAGGGTATTAGTATAAAATAAATTAATTACTTTATTAAAATTGTATTTGTAATAATACCAATTAATTAGCTTCAGTAATTAGCAAAACCTTCCAAGCGAAAATATTCATTTCAATGTCCAGGGAGTGAATTTTTCTCGAGTGGGTATGTTTTCTATATAATATATGATATATGTTATATAATATACATATAATCTGTATAATATATATAGATAAAAATAGATTTTAAAAAAAAATTTATTTTAAAATACTGGGAATTTTTTTTTTAAACTTGAGAGAGTTTTTTTAAAATTACAATTGTGTTTAATATTTGAAAAATTGTGTTTCTCACAACACGCACCACAAAGTGTGTCTATCAATCAATCTCTCTCTATCTCTCTGTATTTCTCTGTCTCTGTGATTCCTAGATTTTTTAGATGTGCTTTTTAAATATTATCCATTCGGCACTTTACAAAATCGAAAAACAAAAGAAAAAAGAGATTACACAACACAAATGGCAGGAATTGTCCATTTAAAAAATATATTACGCAATTTTCTATACTTTAATGAATTGATTAAACACACACGAGGTATAATCATTACGAATTAGGAATGAGGTCAATTGTCATAGGTAATAATGCAGGGTTTTACTTTTCTTGCGCATTGCGAGCGTTTCAAATTTTTTTTCATTTTGCGAAAATTTAGAATAATGAAGAAACATTTTTTACTTCCTCAACCATTTTTTTTTTAAATTTTTAATAACACTGGGAAAGTTTTTGATTTTTTGATTTTTTTAAGCATTTGTTTGATATGGTAACTAATTTGAAAAATTACATTATTAACTATCGATAATAAAGGTTCCTTCTATAACGACTAATAGTGAAAAAAAGAAAATCTATATTGACAAATGTCGATAAAGTAACGCAACATGCACTCGATAAAAATTTATTTGTTAAAGTGGATTAGAATTTCCACTGAAAAATGTTTACTTAATATTAATAACTAATTAATTCAGAAAATGTGAATTAATAATTGGTTAATTAATATAAATAATAAAAAAATATCAATAATGATATTGTGTAAAAATTTGATACTTCGCAATGCGTAAATTGAACACACAAAAAAGCTAGAGAACCAATAAGTGATGTACATTAGAATAAAATGAACATAAATATTATATATATATATATATATATGAAGAAAAAAATAAAAATTATATATATATAGATAAGAAATTGTAAATATATAATGAAACATTCGATTTCGAGTGAAGAATGTAATACGTATATGAAAACTATATTTAGGCGTTTAGAACGATTTTGAAAATTAAGTGATATAAATATAAAAGCATCAATGTAATTTGCTCCGAGAATTAGGTCGATGATCGACGATGTTAGCACTAAAAAGTTCTATAGAATATACATATAATTATGTATTAAGTGAAGCCTAATTTGCGAGGCGTGGCGTCGAGACGCTGCGCTCAGAAAATTAATTAGGACATGCATTTGTTAATTGCTAGGAAAATTTTTTCTTTTCTTTTTTTCAAAATGCAAATATTAAATATTAAACTAAATTTTATCTTTTTATTTTATTTATATATACCTTTATTATTTTTTCTTTTTCCACATATTATAAATTTACTCTTCAATTTTCTCCCTTTTGATTACTAAGCTATATTTACTCCATTTCAATTAAGTATATTAATTATTATTTATTATCGACAAATTTTTTCTCTTTCCTTTTTTTGCTTCTTCGAAAAATAAGTTGAATAAAATAATTTTAACAGATAAATCAATATCAATTTCTTATTTTAATTTTTAAAGTGTTTTATAGTAATAAATTTTTTTGTAACATTTTGTTTTCATTTCGTAATTATTTGGGTGGGGGGTAACCTCGTGAAGAACAAAGCGTTGTGACACGATTCTTCCATTTGGTACATATCACCTTTCTAGGTACATAAATGCAGGTAATGATAAAAATTATAACTATAATGAAAATTTAAAAAAAATACAGTTTATTGTATTGTTAATCTAGAAATGCGAAGCATAGATCGATTGGATTATATATAATTATAAAGAAATTATAATAATTATAGATACATTTATCAAATATAAATATAGGTTTAATGTATATATTTACAATAATATAATTCGGTACACTCATCAAATAACGAGGCTTATTTTCTTTTTATTATATTTATCATTATTTTAATGAAAAATTTCAATTCCCTCTCGAGAAAAAATATCGAGAGAGTGAGAGAGGAAATTTTACGGAAAAGTCGTTGGGAGATTACAGGTGAGAGGGGAATTTTCCCGAACGAGGTAATAAGGAATATATTGCATCCTGTGCATCGATCCCCAATTCCATTAGCCAAAGCTAATTGTTCTCTTTGATGATGAAATTATTTTCCCTTGATGAAAAAATTATTTTTTCTAAAGTTATCTTTTGATGATAAAATTATTATCCTTCTCCTTCTTTTTCTAAAGAAAAAATAAATTTCTGCCTTGAATGATAAATAAATTTCCCTTCAAGAACAGAATTATTTTTTCCTTATAACGAAATAATTTTACACTTTAAATGGAAAATTTTCCAACCAAAAAAATTAAATAAAGGAAAAAATAGTTTTTAAGAATTTAAAATTTTTGAAAAGACTTTATTTTCAAGAAAAAAGTTCCATGAAGAAGAATTTTTTTCAAATCTAATAATTTAACGTCATGAAAATAAATATATTTTTTTAAAAATAATTCTTTGATTTAAGAAAAAATTTTTGTATTATTATTTCAAAAGAAAATGGAATTGATCACCAGGTAAAAGAATAAAATAAAAAATGTCACAGTAAAATTTCCTCTCATTGAGATTTCCCTGAAATTTCCATTTCTATGGAAATATTTTCATGTAAATATATAACAAATGCTTTTTCAGCCGTGACACAACATTGAAAATGTCACGAGAATACTGCAAATTTACAGTTTCTTATGCATGCATTTCTTTTTTTTCTTTCACTGAAATTTTTATTTTGCATGCACAAAATTATATGCGAATGACAATGCACTAGAAGAGTGCACTCTTTCCCCTCCCCACCCATTTCTCAAACAAAAAAAATTTAATTCGCAAACCCTAATAAAAAGATTAAATTTTTTTGCATATTATTTAATTTAGAACAAAAATTATGCATCTTTTTTAAGAAAAGAAAGAAAAAAGTGCAAACAAAAATCAAAGTTATGATTAGAAAAATAAAAAAAAATTACAAATTTTGAAGAAAAAAAAATGCTTTGATCCTCTTGGTATTTTTTATTAAAATTTTGAGGAGCCATTATTGTAAATATGAGCAAAGTACCTTCTTAGTAAAAAAATCATAAATTTTTTGTTCAACTTGCAGAAATAACTTTTTTTACAAGTTGCTACAAAAAATAAAATCCCACATATCATTAGTGTCGATAAAAAAAATCATGCAAAATATTTATATTATAACTTATTTAGCGTTAGTGCCTCGATGTTGTGCATGAAAACAATTTTCACCATTTTACATCGTTATTATTGTTATTAATAGAAAAAATGAGATTTCCATTTTGTCACGAATGTTTAATATCAATAGAGTCATTATTTTTATGCTTTTTTCAATTTTTCCAAATACATTAAAAAATTTCTTAAACTTTATTAAAATAAAATATTAATATTTCTGTATTTAATTTCTAAACATTTTTTCACCAAAAATATTCTTTTGACAAAATGACTCTATTGTACAATCATTGCAGAGTTTCGTCCGAAAAAATGGAATATAATTCAAAAAAATAGATTAAAAAAGTTGAAAATTGAATTTTTAACTTTGCTAAAGATTTAAAAATCTAAAAATATGAAAAAACAGAGAAATTAAAAAATCACACAGAATATTTACGTATTATTAATAAATAAAATAAATAAAAAATGAACAAACTAAACACTAAATAAAACGAGTGTGTAATAAATTGAAAATACATCAAATAGTAGATATCTAATTTAAAAAAAATGCTTTTTCAAAATAAAATAAAGGATTGTAACAAACAAATAAACATAAAAAATAAAAAAGCAACAAATATATGATAAGAAATGAAAATTCTCCCCACCCTTAAAAAAATAAAATTTTGTTTTCAATCTAGTTATTAATTAATCATTGTATGAAATGCCAGTGAATTTTGAGTGGTTGAATATATTCCACTAATTAAACAATTGGACCACGTGTGGAAAACACGCTTCAGCAAATTGACAAATTTATTCTGCCATATGAAATTGATTGATTCGATTTCAGGGGCAATTTTCAAACGTCAGTTGTGATTATCACTTCGCAGTGAGAAGAGACAATTATTATATTAAATAATAAAATTTCGAAACTTGCTTATAAATTTCTTTATTCTTTTCTTACTTTCTCCATTTGAAAAATATTTCTCGTCACTCCTTTGAGTGTAAAAAAGAATAATCGCGCAACGTACCTAATAGCAAAATGGCAAACAGGATAAGTCAGTTTTTAATGTAAAAAAAAAAAATATATATATGTGTTCGATATATATAAATATACCTGTTCGATATGCGATTCTATGTAAAATGGGCATTTGCAAAAAAGAACCATAGCTCCTCTGTGGAACACCTTCACAATTAATCTTACAAAGGAAATTCACATTTTAATTCAATTTCACTTTATTGGACTTTTCTTTTTGTTATTTTAATATTTTTTTAATTTAATAATGAAAAGATAATTTCATAGCTACAAATAATTTTTTTTTATTAATTTGTAGGATTTAAATAAGACTTGTTCAGTTGAGTTCAATGCTAGAACAGTGCGCGCGCAACTGTTCTCAACTTGACCGAAAATTGACCGAAAATTGACCGAAAATTGACCGAAAATTGACCGAATTCTTCTCTAAAAGTAAAAATATGAATTTTTTTATTTCTTCAATAATTGTTTTAAATTTACCTATCAATTAATTAAAAGATTAATTGAAAAATTCTTTCTCAACAAAATATCTTAATCTGTTTATCTAATAAAATAAATTTGATTAATTTATTAAAGTAAATGATTTGAAACTAAACTACATAAATAACTAGTTAATAAAATAAAAAAGAGTTTCTCGAGATCTTTAAGGATTGACATTTCTTGTGATGGTCAAAAAAAGAAAAAATAATGTAAAGATGAGGCCTAAAAAAATAAGAGGCCATTTCGCACAATGCACTTGTTTCATACACATTTTTAGGGCTTCTCGAGTACCATATGTAATATTCTAGCCGGCCTATAATATATAAACGACTTATAAAGATAAGTCGTTTTAGCCATTAAATGGCTATTAAGAATGATTTCGTATCAAACGAACGGAATTCGTGTTTGACACGCGGAGAATTTAATGCGGCAATTAATTATTATAGAGATGATAATGGAGTATTCTTTGTGCCTCCCTTGTAAATTTCACCAATTTCCCATCAATCGTATATTTTATTATAATCACTAATATACCTCTTTGAAAACAATTTCTAATTTTTCTTCAATTCTGAATCATTCAATTTATTCAAATTAACAATTAAAAAACCTACTGTTTAATTATAATAATTAAATTTTAATTCTCATAAAATTGTTAATAACTTATGTAAGTTAAAAAGATAAACATAAAATGAAAATTTGTTTCATAAACATTCGCAGCTTTTCTGCACTTACCGGCACTTACTGAAAATAATAAACTTATCGAAAAAATTTAATTTAAGCAAATTTTCGTATTATATCTTTAAAAAAAATAATCAATAAAAACGTGTTAACGAATTAAAAAAAACTATCAATTATTTTTTTAATTAAAAGGTAGGTACTAATTGCAAAGTTACATAAATGAATTTATAAAAATTTCACACGAAAAAGTGTTGTTAATTAATTTCATCATAATTTTAAATGTCCATAAAATTAAGGGATTTAATAAAAAAAAACTGAAGGAAAGAAATTTAATTATCATTGCAAATAAATCATAAGTATCAAATTTTCATTTTATCTGACGAAAATCTGTATATTTATATAATGGAAATTGATTATCGTTGTGTGTGAAAAAAAAATTTTCCCTAATTTAAAAATACATATATTACAGCGAATTGAAAAAGATTTAAAAAAATATCGCAATTTTATCGGAAATTCGCGATTGTTCTACCTCGTGTAGTCAAAGATTTCTTTTTGTAAATATATACATAAATATACATATATAATACATAACCACTTAGACTCATGTCGGAAAAGAACTCAAAAACTCCCCCCAAAAAAAAAAAAAAAAAAAAAATGCTTCTTTAATCTTTAAAAGCATTTCTTATTTTCCTAAAAAGGAAAACCCGACATTTCATATATAAAACGAAAAAAATAATTTTTTCCATCCAAAAACATTTTTTAATTCTATTTTTTTCTAAAATGAAAAACATTCGAAAATGGTAAAAAAAATTTTTGTTAAGAAAAAACAGGTAAAATTAAAAAAAACATTATCGAAGGAAAAGAAAATATATTCAGTTAATATTTTACCTACAAATTAAATGACCAATTGAAGATAAAAAAACGTACGATATTCACAATATGAAAGAAAAATATATTTTCGTTCACCTATAAGAAATAAATTGTAAGTTTAAAATTGTATAATATTAATCCCCTAATAATTGCTATATATAAATATTATGACATAATGGATTCACAAAGTATTGCACGTTTTTGCGATTCAAAAAGAAAATTCAATTATTAAACATTATATATTTTTCAATGATTATGAAAAGAAAAATTATAATTAAATGAATGTGATAATGCGAAGTGAGATCGAATGATTTTATTATGAATGGATTTTGACCTTCGAAAAAAAAGAAGCTCCTTCTCTTATTCTTCAAAGCAAAGCTCTTTCTACTCTCTGCGTTCAAAATTTTCGTTTCCAAAGAAAAAGAGAAAGAAAATGAAAAAAAAATTAAACAAAATAGAAATTGTCTTATGTTCAAGGTGCATAAATATTAATATGTAGACAATCTCAGCGCGTAAAACTCCAGAAATGATAAACAATAATATTCTGAAATTTCGTACCATTTTTTATATCGAACTATCAATAATAATTCAATGCATGGAAATCATTTTGAAAATCATTTCAACAGCGAGAAAATTTTCAGTTTTTTCGCATTTCATTTTTAATTTTAACAATAGTAATTATAAGGTATTATTTTGAACAATATTTTTTTAAAAAATTGTCTTACATTTTATAACTTTATTATTGAGAAACAAAAATTAATAACATCTTTGACTTGTAATTTTGTAAATTTTTTTATTATAAAAGTACAATTAAATTTCATTTTTAAATATTTTAGATAACTAGTAAAATTAAAAAACGGTAAATTTTTAATTTCAATCAATTATAACAAATTTAATATTTGAACACAAAATTTTAATTATTACCACTAATTATATTAATAAATTAATTAACTTTTATTAAAAGAGTTATAATTAACTTTTCAGTATAAATGTACGATAATAAAAGTTTAAATTTTTAATAAAATTCAATTAGTCTGAATAAAATAATTTTTATTCAAATATGAATAACGATTGTTAGCAATATATTAATTTTATTCATTCTATTTTTGTTCTGAAAAAAAAGTAAATTTTCTCGTTGTAAAAGCAAAAAAAAAAATTATCAAATCAAATCAGCTTTGATAAAAGAGAATTTTATAAACTTTTACCTTTCCATTGAACCCGCAATTTTTAGGGTAGTGAAATTGAGAATATCAAGATTTCTTTGCACGAGTTTCTCCGGTCGGGACCATTTCGCGTCACGCATGTATACCACGGTACAATACTTATAGTCAATTAAAATATATATTTCTCCCTGATATAGATTCTTCAATGAGTAAACAATTTTTTCCTACATAGATGAGAAACAAAAAAAGTAGATTCTATTTCATAAAAAAATTTTTTTTCAAGAAAAAGCAAATTTTACAAAAAAAAGTAAAGAAATAAGAAATATTGCACTTTAAACAAAATTTTCTTTTAATACATATTTTTTTTCATATTCCGAATTAATATTTTTTTAATTGCGTATCAATATTAAATTCATTTCAGCGCAAAAATGTCTTGCCAAAAAAAAGTCATGTGAAAAAATTGTAATAAAAAAATTAATTTATTATTCTCTTTATAAACAAATTGTCAAGTAAGAAAACTTACTTTAATTACTAAGTAATTAATAGAATAATAATAATAATTATTCTTTATTATTGTCGTAACTTTTTAAACAAAAGAAGAAAAATCAATTAATATTTTTATTAATGAATATTATTACTAATTATTTAATTACCAGTTATAATTACTAATTATATAATTTTTAATTATTATTATTGTTAGTTGTGTAATTATACTAATTATTAATTAGTAATATAAGTTTTATAAAATAATTAAATTGCAAAGTAATTAATAATTCATTTAAAGTATAATAATGAGGTCCTTGGGAATAGATTATTAAAAATATTCCTCAAAAATTTTCAATTACTCTAAAAAAGCAAAAATAGTTTTTCATTTTTCTCAAGCCGTTGCACACACAAACAACAATAAAAAAGGTAATAAAAAAAAATTGCAGAACGTTTCTACATTAGAGTTAACGATAAAAGAAAACGCAATTTTTTAATATTTTACTGAAATTTGTTATTGCTTATATAGTTAAAAAAACAGTAGATTAGTTTTTCAAATAGAAAAAATGCGTTTTAAAAAAATCACCAAGAATTTGATATATATAATATATATAAAAATATCACAAAGTTTCTTTCTCGGTCATTTATTTCTTCTTCGTTTTTTTTTAATAGAATAAAACTTTTATTACTTTATATTATAATAAATCTTAAGGCGCAGGACATTTATAAAATAAATTGCAGGGTAGATCAACCGCGCATTCAGAATATTTCTATATTATTTAGGCTAAATTAAAGTATACAATATTAAGAAAATATATGTTAAATGAAAATATTGCAAAAAAAAAAACGATTTTCATAGAAACACTAAACAATAATGAGTAGAGACAAAAAAAGAAGGAAAAAAATTTATTCCTCTTACTGCATTTTCAAAACTTGGAAAAATTTATTTAAACAATATATAATATCACGTCGAATATCAATATAGTAAAAAATCATCAAAAATGACTAGAAAATTAAATAATAGATACATTTAGCAATATTAATATTAATATTACATTTTAATATTGCTTTTGTTTTATAAATTTTTATAACAAATTCGCATTCTCCTAACGTTTATGATTCTAGAGCTTTTTCATAATTTGCATAAAAATAATTAGAAATAATATTAAAAGCAAAACTAATAATAATAATAATAATAATAATAATAATAATAATATTAATAAAAGTAAAAATAATAATGAATAATTGTCATTAGTTTCAATTAAATTTAATTTCCGAGTATTTAAATTTCTGGAAAATTAAAATTATTAATTAGTTTAGTAATTTTTAATTAGGTAATTTAAATATTGTACAATCATTTTTCTTTGAAAAAATATTTTGTTTAAAAGACAATGTTTTTTAATTTCTTTTCTTAATTATAGTTAAAATTATAATTTATTATTATTACTATTATTATTATTGTTCTTGTTAGCAGTAAAATTAAAAGTAGAAAAATAATTTTACAATTCATTTCTGTCTACTAAAGGTGTTGAAATAAATTTTTTTCCGGACTAAAGATAAACTTCAACACAATTAAACTTTAATCGAATCGAGGAAGAAAGTTAGATATATTTAAAAGCGAAAATAAAGAAGGGAAACGAGAAAGAATGTTAACGATCCACATAATAGGAAACCTCTTTAAAATTTAAATATATCTATACCTAACTCAACTGTAGAAAAAAGAAATTCTTGAAAGAAAACAATTTTTTTCTCTTCTTTACAATTTTAATTATTACTGCTTTATTTTCCAAATGTAAAATATATAAATAAATATAAAATACATAATATTAATAATTATTATAGAAGAAAATATATCTCACTCGAAGGTTGCTTTGCTTTTACTAAATGAGAGGAGAGAAAAAAAAATTCAAACGAGAAAATGAGAATTTGTGTGCGTCAAGTTTTGAAAAATGAAGTGTGCGAGCAAGAGAAAAATTAATAAAATACATTGTATTACGTTAAATGTTGTTAGGTTATAAAAATATAATAAATGTTACAAACAACCAGCTGTATGTATGTATAAGAGAAATATTAATGTAGTTACAAAAAGAAAATAAATAAAATGATGATTGTACTATATAAAACAGGAGAGTACCTAATTATATAATTGCCATATTTTTTCTTTAAAAAATCTTTCGCCTTTTCAAAGACAAAAGGGATGAACATTATGCAATATCAACCTTCAAATGACTTTCATTTTTTATGTTACATGTAAATAATAAGAATTAAATTTTTTTTTTTAATATTTTTTTCATTACTTTTTTACTTTATCTTTTCTTAAATAAAAATATTTTGTATTTTTTTACAATTTCTCAAGAAAAAATTGATAAAACAAAATATATGTTTTATGTTTAAATTTCAAAAATGAAATATCAAAAAATAAAAAAAATACTAAAAAAATATTCTATCTCCCGGCAATTAAAATAAACGTGAATCCAGAATGATTAGAAAACATTTTTAATATTAAATTTAATTTTTTTTAAATCGCAGAAAAAATCTAACGCACAAAAATACAATAAAAAAAGTATATTTAATGTACAATATTTTATTCCTAAATCGTGACAGATTCAAGTATATATACCAATCAGACGAAATAATGGAACTTACACTTCAATCTTCTGCCTTCAACTTGCAATATTGCAATACAATTTAATTAAATTTGATACTTTTCGTAAGGTAATTACAATAATTCATTAAAGATAACAAAAAATTTGCTCACAAATTACTATAAATTGATTCTAAAAAATTTGTTTCAGAAAAATGAAATTCTTTTCCTCAACTTTGATGCTCATTGTTCTTGGAGTATTATTCAGTGCTGTACCAACTTATCAAGCACCTTCAAACAAGGCATTATTGTAAATGTTAACATTTTATTTCTTAGTTAATTTTTTTGGAAAAATTTTCCGTTATAATTACTTAATTATTATTACCCACTTACAGGAAATTTTCAAAAGGAAAGTAATAAAACACTTTGACTCACAACATGTCTCCAGAAAAAACAAAAATGGAGTATGATAAATTATTTGTCAAAACTGTAAATTTTTTTATTTAAAAATAATATTGTAAATTGTGCGCAATATATGACTTTAATAAATTTCCGAATGTTTTAAGCTTAATCAATTTGTTGTTATTTCTATTAAAAGAGAAAAAACCTACCTAACAACTATTCCTACCCATCTACTTATATTATTTATGTAAATTAAAACTAAATTCAAATAGAGATTAGGTATACCTATATATTTACACTCCTGATCTTCTAGAATCTAAATATTTTATTAAACAGAAATATAATAAATTATTTAAAAATAATTTTTTTTTTAAATTAATTCTTTTCAATTAATTGCAATTGAAAAAAAATTTATTTTAACTGCCAATGTTTGTTAACTGTTTTCCTTTAATTTTAGTTTATAAGATCAAATTAGTGTAAGTAGAGAAAGTGGGGGGTAGACTTTTACTTAAGTTTTAAGTAAAATAATTTTCGTTTTGGTAAAATTCATCATATATTGTGTACTATATCAGTAATTACGAAATATTTCTAAATAATTGATAAATTTTAAGTAAAAATTTGCATTTAACTTTACTGTCTGATTAATAAAAAATGTTTCAATTCTCTATATAAATTATTTATTTTTATCAATCTTTTACAGATATTGAAATTGTATTATAAATATTTGAATAAGTACAGAAATGAACCACTTTGTGCTGCATTTATATTAAAGTAAAGTGGTGCTTTTCTTGCAGGTGTTACACAAAAATACTTATTTTTATTCACTAATCGGAATATAACCAAGACCCTCAGAAGGATCTTGCGCGCAAGCGTAAAGAGTTCCTTCCGAAGAAGAATGGACTTCCGTAATACACTTCTCTGAAAATTATTGCATAATATTTTCACAATTATAATTATTATTCATAATTTTATATACAAATACTTTTAAATTTAAACCAAACATAAAATAAATAATAATAATAATAATATTCAAATAAGTATTTTTCTTTATTTAATTTGCAAATAAACTTACGTCTGCCACCTTCAATTCTATCAGAAAATACAAAAGCAAGAGGATAACCAACATGCACAATCGAAATATTCACCCAAAGCATCTTCACCAACTTTTCTTGTACAATGCACTGTAAATGAAATTATATTTTTTCAAGTATTTCATTTACGTTTCATAAAAATAATAAATTTTTTTTAAAACTATTTTATTCGTTATAATAAGTTTTAAAATTTAGAAGAGTTCCTTACTAATTGCTTCCATCATATCATGCATATCATAACCATGAAATGCATTACAATTAATTACTCCTGTTGTATCATTTTATTTAATTTCTTTTTTAACAAACGTTAATATTTCTATTCTGCATACATACAGCCCGTTATGTTTGTAATATATATTTATTATATTTTTATAACTTACCATTTAACGTAATACAGTACTACTTAAATTTTTCTCTTGCTCGCACTCTTCATTTTTCAAAATTTAACACACATAAATTCTCATTTTCTCGTTTAAATTTTCTCTCTCTCTCTTAAAAAAATCAATTTTCTAAAAACTGCAATCCAAAAAATTAATTTTTAGATATATTAACACCATTTTATCGATTGAATGAATCTAGAAAATTATTAATTATTATTTAACTATTTTAGTGATTTTTATTTAAATATTGTTTCATTATTTTTCGTTGAAAAGAAACAATTTTTTTTTTGTTAATTAGGTTAAATATATTGTTATGCTTATAATTAATTTCTATTATTATTATTATTATTATTATTATTATTGTCCTTATTAGTCATAAAACTAAAAGTGAAAAAATAATTTTATAATTAATATCTGTCTATAGTAAAGGTGTTAAAATAAACTTTTTTCTTGACTAAAAGATAAATTTCTACACAGTTAAACTTTAATCGAATCGAGGAAGAAAGTTAGATATATAAAAGCGAAAAATACAGACGAAAAACGAGAACGAATGTTAACGAGCCACATAATAAGAAACCTCTTTAAAATTTAAATATATTTATACCTAACTCAACAGTAGAAAAAAGAAATTCTTCAAACAATACAATTTTTTTCTCTCCTTTGCAATTATTCTTATTCATAATACTGCATTATTTGCAAAATGTAAAATATATAAATGAATATAAAATAATAATATTATGTAGAGGAAAATATATCTCTCGCAAAGGTTGCTTTACTTTTACTAAAAAAAAAAGAGAGAAAAAATTTAAACGAGAAAATGAGAATTTGTGTGCGTTAAATTTTGAAAAATGAAGTGTGCGAGCAAGAGAACAATTTATAAAGTAGATTGTATTACGTTAAATGGTAAGTTATAAAAATATAATAAATATGTTACAAACATAACGGGCTGTATAGGGTAAGTGTACCAATTGCCGAGGGTGTTCCATTTGTCGATGTTACCATGGTAATAACCAAAAAATATTGTCTAAAATGTCTCATTTGTTTGTTTATATAATATTAATATATTTTTTTTACATTTATAACGCATAAAAAAATTAATATTTATTACTTTCTTTCATTTACAATGTGCTACACTGTTTAAATAAAATTCAAAGTTTGTTTACTCGACAACAGGAACCATCCTCGACAATTGGTACGTTTACCCTATATGCAGAAGAGAAATATTAACGTTTGTTGCAAAAAGAAATAAAATAAAATGATACAACTGGAGTAATTTTATAATTGCCATATTTTTAAGTTTAAAAAAAATGTTTCCTTCCAAGACGAAAGGGTTAAAATTTATTCTACATTATATCAACCTTCAAATGACTTTCATTTTTTATGTCATATAAAGATAATTCGTAAAAATAAAAAGCAAAGTTATAAAAAATTATTTCTGCAAATATTTTTTTCATTGTTTTCTTCATTATACTTTTTTCTTTTATCTTTTCTTAAATTAAATATTTTATATTTCTTTTACAATTTCAAAAAAACAATTGATATATAAAAATATAAATAAAAAAACTTATTATTATGCAAAAAAAATGCGAATTCTTTTATGTATAAATTTGAAAACAGCAAAATATAAAAAAGTAGTAAAAAAATATTCTATCTCTTCTATCTCTCTTGTAATTAAAGAAAAATGGAAGATTAGAATACTCGCTTAAGAAAAAACAATATTTTTTAATATAGAATTTAATTTTCTTTTAATCGTAGAACAAATTTTATTCATATTAACACTTCACACTTTAATAATTAATCACTTTAATTCAAAATAATTATTTTTCGCATAAATATGCATTTTATTATTTTCGCAATAGCTTTTTTTATAATATTATCTTTAAAAAAAAATGTTTTATGTTTCTTTTAAATTTCAATAGATATAACGAAATATAAAAGGAAAAATTTATTGTCTCTCTTAACTTTTATAAAAATACAAATTGTTTTATGTAGAAATTTCAAAAAATAAAATAGCAAAATGCTATAAAAAAATAATAATAAAAATAAATCAATCTCTCTGCAGTTCGAGTAAAAGCTAATTTAGAAAAATTAGAAAAATTTTTTTATGATGAAAAACAAACTTTTAATTTTTTTGTAATGAAAAAATGTCACTCACGAAAATACGATAAATATAAAAATGTAAAAATTAATAAATATTTTATCAATTTTTAAAAGTTTTGAGTAGCAATAAATAAACCTTGAGAATAGACATTAAATTTCGTTATTTAAAAACTTTCAAAAATACAGGTATAATTCATTTAATCGTAAATATGCATTTTGTTAGCGTTTCTTTAATTTTATTTGCATTTTATTCTAATTGCAATGCATAATATAGTGGTTATAATATGCGTGAAAAGAAGAAAATTCCGCTCAACAATTATTTCTTGCTCTTGAAAGCACAGTAAGCCATACACTGTAAAAAAAGGGAGTTAAATTTTAACTCCCCCGGGGGGTCTATAAAAGTCGCACCCATTGGGGAGTTAATGCCAGGGGAGTTAAACAAAGAGAGTTAAAATTTAACACCCAAATGCTAACTCCCCATGGAAAAAATAACTCGCGCGAGTGTTGAATGGAGGGAGTTAGAAATTAACTCTCTTTTGGAGTTGATTTTTAACTCGAAAAATTTCACTCCCAACTCCCGAGTCCGTTAACTCCCTAAATTTTTTACAGTGTATAACTAACTCACGATTTTTTGATTATCGTTGTTATGGGCCGTCCATAAATTATTTATTTATTCAAGCAATAATTTGATTTGATATTACAATAACATATTCAAAAAATAGAAAAAATCTCACTATTTTCATTTCTTCTCGACTAGTTAAAAACTTTTCATGAATTTTCATTTTCACGAGTAAAAGAAGGGATGACTTTATGTTCTGTCGTTTGCTCTACAATAATATAAAATTTTATCGTTTAGTATAATATTGAACAGAAAGAAAAATACACATATAACGGATACTTAAAAAATATTTTAAATAATTATTTATTTAAAAATTTGTAATTATGCGTTTTCTCATGATTTATTTCTTAATCTTCTCTGTATCTTATTGTAATTGCAAGAAACGAGAATATAAAAATACAGTTACAGCAATTCGTAAGTATTCTTTTAAAAAAAACCTGCACTTATAATATTTTTAAAAAATTAGATACTTTTCAAATATAAAGAAAATTTTAAAGATTTAATTTAATCTCTACAGTTCAGTGCACAAGAAATTTAGGAGGAGGTTCTTACAATTGCAAGGGTTATTCTCTCGATGAAGTATTTTCAAATAGAATGGAAGGTGGTAAACGTAAGTTTATTTTCGAATTAAATAATTAGGTTGTAAATTTAATTGCCAATTATTGAAAATTTGCTTTTTTTACAGAAAATTGTATCAAGAGAAGGATTCGAGGTTTCGATCATTTCTACGTTTGTGCAAAAAAATCTCCCAAAGATAATAAATAAAATTAAAAAATGGAGTTTCATTAAAAATGCAAAGAAACAATAAATTGAATACAATTTTTCAAAATTCGTGAAAGTAATTTTTAAACGTTAAAAAAAATAAGTAAAATTCATTTGTCTTTTTATTTTTATGTGCAAACATAAAAGAGTGAAGATAACTTTGGTTTGACTTTGAAAATAAACAATCCATATAAATAAATACTTTTAAAAAGAATAGAAACATATTGATAGCATATAGTCGAGCTTAAATATTATTACAAATAGAGAATTACTTTTTTGAATCCACAATTATGCGTTTCATTAATATTCCCAGTGAGAAATTGCCAATAGACTTTAATCGGTCCAATATCGGTCCAATATTGGTTGCCGTGCTGGGCGCCGATTGACTCCCAATATTGGACCAATATGGGCTGATGCTTGGGATGTAACGGCATCGCCAATCATCGGTTGTCAATATTGGTCCAATATTGGCCGAATATTGGCAACCAAGAAAAAAAAAATTTTTTTAATAAATTTTTTTTAATTAAATAATAATAATAAAAAATTAATGTTTATAATTTTTGTTTAATATATTTATTTGTTTAATTATTTATTTTTAATAATTCATGTAAATAATAAATAATTTATTATTTATAAATTATAATTATTTAAAAATGCAGCAGCTATTAGAAAATAGCATTCTGCAAAAAAATTCTATCATTGAAAAATCAATGATAGGCGAGAGAAATCCGCGTCTTTAAATAGATTCGCAGATGATAGACAAGAGATATCCGCGTCATTAAACGGATTCGCAGATATACTCTGGTCTCGCGACGAATCTCTCGATACTTATATACACTGGAGTCGCCGTGTCAGTTGCGAGAACGGTTACAGCGTCCCTCTTGCGGCAGAGATAAGAATTGTCACGTAAACTGCTAAATCGCTTTACCGACCGCCTTATTATACCCGCAGTTTACGTGACAATTCTTATCTCTGCCGCAAGAGGGACGCTGTAACCGTTCTCGCAACTGACACGGCGACTCCAGTGTATATAAGTATCGAGAGATTCGTCGCGAGACCAGAGTATATCTGCGAATCCGTTTAATGACGCGGATATCTCTTGTCTATCATCTGCGAATCTATTTAAAGACGCGGATTTCTCTCGCCTATCATTGATTTTTCAATGATAGAATTTTTTTGCAGAATGCTATTTTCTAATAGCTGCTGCATTTTTAAATAATTATAATTTATAAATAATAAATTATTTATTATTTACATGAATTATTAAAAATAAATAATTAAACAAATAAATATATTAAACAAAAATTATAAACATTAATTTTTTATTATTATTATTTAATTAAAAAAAATTTATTTAAAAAAATTTTTTTCTCTTGGTTGCCAATATTCGGCCAATATTGGACCAATATTGACAACCGATGATTGGCGATGCCGTTACATCCCAAGCATCAGCCCATATTGGTCCAATATTGGGAGCCTTTATTGGACCGATGATCGGTCTCTTGGCTCCCAATATTGGACCGATATTGGACCGGTGAGAAATTTCTCACTGGGTTATTATATTTTAATCTTTTTCGCACTTTATTACATGGTTACTAGGCATGGAGGCTTTTAAACATGAAGAAAAAAGCTATTGAATTTATTTACTAAAAATTTCGAAATATTTTACAGAGAATTGTCTCATGAAGATTAATTATTATATTTCATGAAAATTAAAAATATTTTTATAAATTTTACATAAATCAATTATTAAATTATTGTTAAATATTTATGTTTTAATAAATTGTATTTCTCTAATAAATGAGAATAAACAAATAATTTAAATATTTCCTTGTTTTAATTGTTTCAATCCAACCTATAACTTCATATCTTTTATTTAGACCAAAAAAACCCAGAGTTATATAAATTTAATCAATTGATTGGCCAAAGAGGTCAATAGTTTATTTCTCAAAAAATAATTATGAATTTGTAAATTAAATTTTTTTATATATTAATTTTGTGTCCCTCATAATTTTAATTTATTCAAAAAACAAGTAAAAAACAAATTGAATATTTTTTATATTTTTTCCTATGTTACGTGATATTTTAGTTGTAAAAAATTATATCTTACGATTATTTTCTTCGCTTCTGTAAGAAAAAGAATGAAAAAAAATATTAGAGAAAACGTTACATAAAGTCAAATTGTCTTTTTTTATTTCAAAGTCGTGAGAGATTCTAGTATAAATACGGAAAATACGAATAGTAAGCTCATTGTATCATCAACAGTTTACGAAATAACAAATCCAATCGTTGGTAAGGGAAATTTTAATTGTAATTTTTTAAAAATTTGCATCAAACAAATAATTGTCTTTTAAGATTTTTATTAAAAAATCTATTCCTTTTTTGTTTCTTCAGATATTGACTTGGAGCAAAATGAAGATTATTTCTTCCTTGATACTTATAACATTTGGAGTATTATTGATTGCTATGTCTGGAAATTCCTACTCCATGAGAGTCAACAAGTAAAATTTATAAGTTTGATAAATTTTTATTTTTACAAACAATTATTATATATATCTAAACAAAATTTTCTAAATAAAATTCTCTCTTCTACAGAAAATAAAAACGAATAAAGTAGTTTTTTCAATTCTTTCATATTAAAATCTCAGACAGTTTAGATTTAACTATGAAAGTATGGTAAATATTACTTTATTCTTTTTTTCATAATTATTACATTATATTAACATTAAAAAATATTTTCTTATTTTTTTAAAATTCTAATTATTATTAAATTCCAAGTATTTTAAACGAGATTTTTCATTAAATAAAAATAGAAAGTGTATGAACAGAATTGCAAAAAAAAAAAAAATTAACAAAAAAAATATTTTTATTTTCAGACATTTAGCAAGTCCTGGAAAATAAAACAGAATGTTTTTTTCGAAAATGTTCACAATTTTTGTTTGTTTGTTACAAAAATCAATTATGTGAAATAAATAATTTAAAAAACTAATTCAATTCTTATTTCTTTCCTATATTTAAAAAAAAGTCCCCAATTTTTCAAGTTCAAATAAACGACGATATTATCTATTACTTCTTTCAATTTATATTTATTTAATACAAAATTATTTTGTAATTCATGAAATATTTCCTTGTCAATTTAAAAAAAATTAAAAATGATAATTAATTTTTTTTAAAAGGTATAGTTGTTGACTAACAAAATAACAATATATTTAAAAAGAAGTAAAACTAGAATTGAGAAATAAATTAAAATAATAAAATAAAAGAATAATGTTAAAAAAAAAGAAAAAGTGAGAGTTTAAAAATTGATATTTTTCTGGAGTGCACATGTATAGAGGTGAGATTATAAATCTTTTCGTTAAGTGTAAATATGAATCTTTATTTTTTTCTTTTTTTCCCCAAGAAAAACGGAAACGTGATAAGAGAGAGTCTTTCACTTGACTATGCAGATACATGAAGGAAAAATGAGTTTTCAAGAATATTTTCAACGACACCCGAGAGCGACAAGGTATGACCTCGAGTAGAACACTAAGAACATGAACCTTCTATGCGAAACTTATCGTATCTGTAAAAAAGTGAAGATACACGTGAGACCAATGATAAAAAGACACACAAAGAACTCTAATATTTCTTCTAACTACCGAGAAAAGAATTATTTTTAATATTAATACTAAAATACGAAAATTTAAACCAACTTTCTTATCAAAATAATAAAAAAAAATGAATGTTTCGAATATATTATTATTTTCAAGTAATTTTGATTCTAGAAGATGAGAAAGAATATTCTGCCCTTAAATGTGAGACGCAGGTTTACATTATAAATTTATTTATAAGCCTTATTGGAAGATTGTGGTACGCAATCAGAGCGGAAAGACAATAACCTATTTTGCACAACCCGTATTATATTGTTAATAATAGAAGTTTGCGATTGGTTCTTAGAACAAATGGTTATAAAGTTTATTTCAGGTCTTGACTGGCCTATTTTCTCATCTTCAACTTGCAACAAATTAAATGATGAAAATCCAATTTCTATGCGAAAGAGAAAGAGAGAAAGAGTAAACGCCCCTTAAAAGTGGGTTAATCAATTATTGTCCTCGTCATTCAAAATTAAAATTGACACACAATTCAAATCTTGATTCAATAATAGGAAAAAAAACTCTTCCATTTGCATTTTATGTCGATAAAAAAATGTATAATTTTAAAGCAAAACTAAAAATTTAACATAGTACTAAATATTCCGTTGCATGGCGCAGTGAATATACGGTGTTTGGTTTGCCTTTGCGTACGACGAACCCGGGTTCGATTCCTGGCCGCCCAAAGTATTTTTATTTCCGTTAATTTTAGGCATCCAAAATGAAAAAGGACCACAATAATCTAATAGAAAAAGAAACTATGGTGAAAAATTATACTATTCAATTATTATTATTATATGAAAGACTTCCTCAAAGAAGTAAATTTTAAAACAAAGGCGATAAATTTCTCAAATAAATCAAAGAAATTGAATTAAACTTTTCTGGGGTTTCTTCGTGGCGCAGTAGTAGAAGACTATATGCAGTCAGACGTGAGAGGAAACACACAGAATTACAATCGAGATTAATAGTTTACTTTCAATTAAAATTTAATGTAATTTTCTTCTTTTTTTTTATTTTTTCTGTTCCATTAGCGTAAAATTTAGTCCGCATCTCGAATATAAATTAATAGTTATAACATCTCTGATTCATTCTATCGTAAAATTTTTCGTTTCGCAACATATCAATTTAAAAAAAATAAGTCATTTAATTTTTGCGAAAATGAACAATTTTTGTGGTACAATTATTATTGTTATTAAAGACTTAATATTAAGAATCGGTAAAAAAGATTTCTGTTCGATAAGAAATTAAGTTTCAAAGTATATCGACTTATCGGTATATAAAGTAGAAATTTTTTACCGATGGTCGACAAATACTTTGGTGACCAAAAGTCGTTAAATTAGATCATTAAAATCGATTAGTATATAAAAATCGGTATTAATCGGTAGATAAATTAGAAACCTCTTACAAATAAACAATAGTCAATAATTTATACACTGACAATGAGAGGAAAGATTGGTAATTATTTCTCTCTCAGTTTATTTATAAATATATATAATAATTGTCATTAATAAAAAATGTAGAGTAAATAAATAAATATTTTCGTCTACAATATTTAAAAGAGGGAAAACATAATGTCAGAGAAATGAAGACAAAATAGAAATGTAGAAAATGGGAATTCTTTCTTTTTCTTCTTTTTTTTGTAGTAAATTCGAGTGCGAGAAAAGGAAAATGTGTCTTAGTGACAAAAGGTCGCATTTTCACGGCACGAAAAGAGAAGCCCATTACCGGAAGACAATATTGTAATCCCTTCAGGCGAGTCGATGTTTTTCTAAGAATATACGTGTTATTCTAAAAATATCGCGGCAAAATAACAACGCCTGCTTCTCTCTTCTTCCCTTTTTCTCTTTTTCTCTTTTTTTTATTACCTTCTCTCACTCCCAACCACACAACTGATAAGAAAACCACAAAAGTAGGTGTTAATTTTCTCACTCGAAACTTTTCCTCCAGTTTTTCTTCTCCTTTATTCCAAAATAAAAACTACTCTATACAAAAGTGTATTTCATCAAAAAAGAAAAGAGGAAAAGAAAGAAGTCATAAAAAAGTAAAATCATAAAACTTTAAATTATTCCAAACACTATCCTAAATTTTAAAGGCATGAAACACTTTTTATTTATTTAATTATTAAATAGAATGTAAAAGCAATTTGAAAATGGAAAAAAAGTATTATTTTATTGAATGTATTTCTGTCTTTTGACTCGAGAGTCGAGTCGTTAAATCTTTCAAGACAGGAAATTGCAGCTGGAAGGAAGTTCATTTTTCAAATCTCAATGTATGATGGGAAATACAAAAGAGAAGCAACTCTTAAGTACAGTGACAGTGAAAATAAGTGAAAAACAAGTACAAAGAAGCTGCATCGATTGGTCACCATTTCCAGCATGCGCAGTCTTCGATTGGTCAATAAAATAAGTTTCATTAAAAATTAAATCCACCGTTTAGAGCAAAAATTTTAAAAAATTATTTTCATTCATATGTTCGTCGGGTAACAAAAATCACCGTCTTAATTGAAAAAAAATTCATTTTTTTATAATTTCCATTAATTGTTAGCCTACAATATTATTTTATATTTGTCACAAAAACATATACAACATGTTTGGGGTATATATAATATATTAATATATATGAGAAATCATAAAAGGTCAAGTCAAATTCTATTTTTGGTTTCATGTAAATCAGTGAAAAAAGCACTTCTTATCTATTTCGAGTCTTTGCCTTAACTAGAACTCGGTTCAATTATTTTCAGTGACATTTTACGATTTCTCATTTAGAATGTCCTACATCAAACTTTTAAATTTATAATTAGCGAAAAAGGTCCATCGTCTGGGACACAAATAAAAGAACGAGGTTTTCACATCGGAAATAGATTTCCTTTCCGCCTCAAGTTACAAGAAAAACTTGGATTCAAAATTTAATTAAATTACACAATAACTGTTATTATTGTACAAAATAAAAAATAGACACAACAAAAATTTCAATTATTAAAATTTTTCTATTTTTAAATAAAACCATATTTCTTAATATCTCCCTTATTAAATTTGTGACATTTAAAAAAATGTTAGTACCTTTTTTATATAAAAAAGAATATTATAAAAAATTTCTATATTTTTTTAAAAACGAAATCATACATTTAGATGATAGAAAATGTTTCCTCACCTAAGAATCCGGTTTTAACTATAAAAATTAAAAAAATGTCATTGGGTCATCATTTAGAAGAATATTAAAATTTTACAGTCGACAACATTATCGTAAATTAACGAATAAGTGATGAATAATATATTATTCATCAAGTTTATTAATTATAATTGAAAAGTTTCAGGAAAAAAGAAAATAAGAATTAATTCATTTATCTCTATATCCAGTTATGAAGGTATATTTTATAAGCCTTCTGGAAAAATCAAAAGTGCATTTGGCTCGGTGAAACTAGCGACCCGCCGGCCGCCAGCCATCAGAAGAATCCATAGGCGCCGACACACATAGTAGCGCGGTGGCCCTATACGGTTCAATCAACGCAAAAACAACGTACGCTAGCTATTACAGTTTATGGAAAAAAATGCAATAGTCACATTTTAAAGAGCAATAATCCCCCTTAAATTTGTGACCAAAAAATAAAAATTTGGTCTAAAATTGTTCGAATTTTTGATAGCCAGCGTCCCCACCCGCCCGTATCAGAAAAACGAAAATTGGAAAAAAATCGGAAAAAAATTCATAACTCGAATAATTTTTGACCAATTCTTTGTTTCTTGGTCGCAAATTAAAGGGGGATGATTGCTCTTCAAAATGTGACCAATAAGAATTTATTTAAAAATTTTTTGATAGTCAGCGTTTCCACCCGCCCGTATCAGAAAAACGAAAATTGGAAAAAAATCGGAAAAAAATTCATAACTCGAATAATTTTTGACCAATTCTTTGTTTCTTGGTCGCAAATTAAAGGGGGATGATTGCTCTTCAAAATGTGACCAATAAGAATTTATTTAAAAAATTTTTGATAGCCAGCGTCCCCACCCGCCCGTATCAGAAAAACGAAAATTGGAAAAAAATTGGAAAAAAATTCATAACTCGAATAATTTTTGACCAATTCTTTGTTTCTTGGTCGCAAATTAAAGAGGGATGATTGCTCTTCAAAATGTGACAATTGAAAATATTTTTAATAAACTTTTGATAGCCAGCGTCCCCACCCGCCCGTATCAGAAAAACGAAAATTGGAAAAAAATCGGAAAAAAATTCATAACTCGAATAATTTTTGACCAATTCTTTGTTTCTTGGACGCAAATTAAAGGGGGATGATTGCTCTTCAAAATGTGACCAATAAGAATTTATTTAAAAAATTTTTGATAGCCAGCGTCCCCACCCGCCCGTATCAGAA